TTTGGGCCCATCTAACTCAGTACTGTTTACAGCAGGGGAGGTGACCTGTGGCCTTTGGGTAGAGATGTTCTTGGGCTCCAAGTCCCATCAGTCCCACCCAGTATGGCTAGTGGTCAGGAATGATGGAAGCTGAAGTCCAGAAACATCTGGAGGGTCATGGGTAGCCCACACCTCACACCTGGGAGAGTGGCTGCCGGTCAAAACAGGAGTTTTCCCTTCCTCCCTGGAGATACATAACTGCTACTGAACCTTTTGCATGGATCAATTGTGCTTTATTGTCAAGCTATATAACCTTTGGGCTAGGCAGCAGAACACATTTTAGAAATAAAGGCTTTGAAGATGCCAAATGGAAACCAAACACATAATCACAGTGCCAGTTTACTGTAATGGCACTCCTTGCCTGCTTTTCCAAGAGAGGAAGGTATGAACAGCAGCGTTGAGAACACTGCACTTTCTCTCCCCTAATCATAAGCATCACTACTTTCAAACAATGCATTAATTATATTCATCCCAATTTGTGGTAACCCACAGAGATTGCCATGCCAGTGCACTGGGCTTCTAGTAGCACTTTCCCACAAATGCTGCTTCAGATGTATTAGATGTTTGACAGCTATTAAACAGATACGCTAAAAGCCACCCAGAGAACATCAGCTGAGTTCTAGCACTTTAGAATGATGATGAAGCTTTCTCAAGCACATGATTTCCATCACCCAACATGCACTCTTGAACAAAAAGAGGTTTTCTTAGAGTCCGCATACTGAAATCAGGAGAATGCACAAGGTATTTTTCAGAATTTAATGCTAAGTTGTGAGGAGACAACGCTAAAAGGCTCCCGCCCTAGCACAAGTCATTTACAATGACTCTGCTGCACAGAGAACATAAAAAGGATGTTAAGGTTTAAATTCAGATTAGACAGTTAGTTAAAATCCTTCTGCCTTAGATCTGAACCACATAGAAAGGCAAAAAAATCTCTTGAACAGAGACTTTTAAATTGGATCAGTTTACCCAAAAATAAGACTGGGGTCAACATTTGCCAAAGGAGAACAAAACTCCTTGCAGCAAATCAAGGACATATCTTGCCTTTGCCCACATCAGAGGCAGGCCTCATCTCTCCAATTCATGGACCACAGCAAAAATCCACTGGCCCTGATAGCTACATAATGGTCAGGAAATAGAAAAGCCTCCAACTGCAGTCCTGTACCCACTTACTTAGGAGCCAGACCACTGAATTCAGTGGGACTTTTGAGTAGAAATGTGTAGGATTGCACTGTCAGCCACCTATGGAACTAAGGAAAAGCAAACTCCAGCTTAGGCATTATTATTCCTCTCACTCATGATTAGCAAGAAGTAGCTTGGCCCTGCAGACCTACAGTAGCTGTCCAATATAATAATAATAATAATAATAATAATAATAATAGTAATAATTTTATTTGTACCACACCCTCCCCGGCCGGAGAGGACCATAGAAAATGCCACACATGAAAAATACAAGCAAACATGTTGACTCCCATGCTGGTAAAATTGGCTGAAACCAACGAAGAATAGGATATACGGTAGTTTGCTGATTTGTCATGGATTCTTTAGCTGTGATTCCTACATTGCAGGGTTAGACTAGATGGCCAACTATACAATTCTATATAATAATAACAACAGTATAATATATATGTGTGTGTGTGTGTTTATGTATGCTGCCCATCTGATTGGTGGCATACCATATGATGATGATTTTTTAAATTATCATCATATGGTTTAGCCCTTCTGGAACTGTGTCACCAAGCAACATGGCAGAGGACTTTCAGTCTGAATAGTTCTCCACAATAAAAGGAAAAGGCTAGAGCTATTCTAATTGACATGCCAGAAACAAGGAGTCCAGGGGGAACCATCCCAAAAAGGCTGCATCATAAGATCCCCACCCCCTCCCCGCAACATACATCAGCCCTTAGTTATACTGCACTCTGTTTAACTCAGATATTTTTCACGTTCCTCCCTCTGGCAACCTAGAGAGATTAGGTTGTACTGTATTTGCAGAACTGCTTCATAAGTTACTTTTCCCCAACCAAAAGATCAATTTCAGGGTTGGAAAACAAACATGTAGTTTGTCCCATATGAAAGACAACAAGATTGTTTTCTATTTTGCAGGAAAAAGAGACGAGGAAACCGACGTATCTGTTCCTTCACTGCATACCTGCAATGCCCTTCATATATTACAAAATACATATCCGTACTACTATGAAAAATACATCAGGCTGTATAAAGCATCCTCAGTGTAGATGCAAATAATATGCCTACTCACAGATCTGAAGCAGCGCAGCTTGTTGCAACACTGAGAAACATAACCCAGAGACAGGGAAATTGTGCTTTAGCATAGCACAGAGGATCACTGTTGGTTTTCTCCAAAGGGAACCACTGTACAAAATAGTCTTGCAGAAGAACACATGCAGAAGCAGGAGAGGGCTTGAAACGAACTAAGGAAACGTTCTCTGTGCATTATCAAATTGCCTGCAACTCTCATTTTAGGCAAAATGAAACTATGTTAAATTCAGAATACATCTAGCTAACGCCAGGTCATTCAGATACTGGCTGAATTCCAAATTTGTTCTGACACTAGCATATCTGGCCAGTGTCCCCTGGGAGTCATGTGATCATGCATGCCTGTAGCAGGGAGAAGGAGAAGGGCATTCAATGATAGCAGCGCACAGAGGCATACAGATAGCCTACACAATGACGACCCGTTTTATTTACTGAATCCCTACAGGACAAAAACACCATGTTTTCTACCTTCACATAAAGTGCTGTTTCTGCATTTCTAAGCCACCAATATAATTGTTTTCCAGCTGTCAAGTCTCAGTGGTATCTTCTAGCTTATATATGAAACAGGCTCCCTCCCCCAACTTCCTTTTGTTCACACTGCAGGAGTGGGAAACCTGTGGTCCTCTAGCTGATGCTGAACTGCCACTCCCACCAGCCCCAGCCAGCATGGTCAATGGTTAGGAATGATGGGAAATGATGTCTAGCAATATCTGAAGTGGGAGGCACAGGTTTCTCACAACTGTTCTGCAATTTGAGCTAAAAAAGTAATAACTAAATGTTGAGACACAGCTGGTGGATCGATTAGATTTATATACTTTCTCTCACACATCAAATGCATACATACAGTGTAATGGTGCTCTCAATATTCCATTCAAAGTAATAAAATAAGGAACAAAAAAAACCTTTCAATTTTCAACTGACTATACATTCCATAACACTTTCACCTTGCTTAAAATTATTAGAAAAAAACCTGACCTACATTGGCTCCCAGTACGTTTCCGAGCACAAGTCAAAGTGTTGGTGCTGACCTTTAAAGCCCTAAACAGCATTGGCTCAGTATACCTGAAGGAGTGTCTCCACCCCCAACGTTCAGCCCGGATACTGAGCTCCAGCTCTGAGGGCCTTCTGGTGGTTCCCTCACTGCGAGAAGTGAGGTTATAGGGAACCAGGCAGAGGGCCTTCTTGGTAGTGGCACCCTCCCATCAGATGTCAAGGAAATAAACAACTATCTGAATTTTAGAAGACACCTGAAGGCAGCCCTATTCAGGGAATTTTTTAATGTTCGAAGTTTTATTCTGTTTTTAGTCCTCTGTTGGGAGCCATCCAGAGTGGCTAGGGAAACCCAGCCAGACGGGCGGGGTAGAAATAATAAAATTATTATTACTATTAATGTGATCTTATTCTAAGTAAAAAATGTAAAGGAAAATAGTTTATTTATTGTTTTAATTGTTCTACCCAGTCTGCAACTACACTTAGATCTCATCTAAACTTCCAATTGTCCTGTGCCTAGAAAGTACGGGACCAAGCAGTTTTAGCGATGCCTAAAATTTTCCATTTTCCCCACCACTTTCCCCAGGAAAACCTGCTCTTTAGCACTGAACTGGAGCAAACATCAGTCCCAGAAAACCAGATTGATGTTTGCTCCGATTCAGTGGTAAATATCAGATTTTCCCAGAGGAAAGCAGTGGAACAAGCACAAGTCTGGACAAGCCCTTATACTCTCTTTCTTTCTTACACATTATTTCTTTCTACAGCCAATTTCTGCTAAAAACCTGATTTTTTTTCCTACATCAAAGCAGCACTGAGAATGTATGGGGGACCTCACTCCCAACAAATATAGCAATCCTGTAAATCAAGGTTTGCAGCTATAGTCAAAGTTAATGCACAAAATGTAACATGAAGTTGTTAAGAAGAGGTGCAACAACAGTGGTGGTGCTATGTTTTTATTCTTTTGCAGAGAAGGAAATTTGACTAGCGATTACCGTATTTTTCGCTCTATTGGACGCACCGGACCACAGGACGCACCTAGTTTTTAGAGGGGGAAATCAAGGAAAAAAATATTATTCCCCCCCAGCCCCAAAGAGCAACGGACAGGCTGCACGCAGCCTGTCCGCTTCTCCCAGAGCTTCTCGGGGCTGCGGGGGAAGCCCGGGTCCCCCCCGCCCAGCCCCAAAGAGCAAAGAAGCCAAGATAGCGAGCGCGATCCATCCCGCTCGTTGCCTTGGCTTCCTCTTTAGCCTTGCGCAACGGAATGGATCGCGCCCGCTGTCCACCGGGGCTGGACTAGATGACTCCTGGGGTTCCCTTCCAACCCTGCAATTCTATGACCTCGGAAGGTGTTGGGGGTCTCCACCACTGGAGGCTTTTAAGCAGCGGTTGGGGGACCATCTGCCTGGCGTTCTTTAGCTGTGATTCCTACATTGTGAGGGGGCTGGGCTAGATGACCCTCGGGTGGCCCTCCCAACTCTATACAGTCCTACAGTTCTGCGGCAGGAGATCCACAGCCACTTCACACAATACCCACTCACAATTTTCATCCGAGAGACATGTGGCTTCAGTGTCTAGGTAGGTACCCCCCCTACCTGCCACACTTCCCCCACCCCACTTAAGCTGAGGGAATTCCTGCCCAGAGAAGCTCCCAGGTGAGGCAAGGGTTAAGATCTACCTCTGGTGGATCACGCAGCCTCCCGCGGCTGGAGAGGCGCGCAAGGCTAAAGAGGAAGCCAGGGCAGCAAACGGGATGGATCGCACTTGCTGCCCTGGCTTCCTCTTTAGCCTTGCGCAGCCTCCTCCCCCCCAGAGAGGTGTGCAAGGCTAAAGAGGAAGCCAGGGCAGCGAACGGGATGGATCGCCCTGCTGCCCTGGCTTCCTCTTTAGCCTTGCGCAGCCTCCCCCCGGCTGGAGAGGTTGCACAAGGCTTTTCTAGAGGAGGGAGAAGGGACTGACTGGCGGTGTCAGTCCCTTCTCCCTCCTGGGGAAAAGCCCGCAAGAGCCGCGCGAAGCTTGTGTGGGGCTCTTGGGGGCTTTTCCTGCCTGCCTCCCCCCTGCATTCGCTCCATAGGACGCACAGACTTTTCCCCTTAGTTTTTAAGACGGAAAAAGTGTGTCCTATGGTGCGAAAAGGACGGTACTAGGTAAGATATTTGTGCACATGGAAAGTTAGGATGCATTCTTAAGATGGGTTATTTCTCTCTTTCAGTTCTTCAGTTCATACTATCCTTTTCCAACAACTTATCTCTACTATGGACAATCTTGTTTGACTTGTCTTCATTCTGCCTACACATCAGCAAAGTGCTGGCTAACTACTGTGCTACTAAAGTAGAACTATTACTAAAATGGTTAGATACTTTCCATCATTTGAATTAGCATTTTTATTTTGCCTTGTTTTATCCAATCTTCTCAAGTGGGAAGGGGCGGAACCATGTGCCATATATACTAGGATTTTGTCTTTAAAGGAAAATCCTGAACCCCTCAAACCATGGTAGAAGCACTTTGCAGTATAACTCCAGTAGTAAACTAACAATAAAGCAACAGTGCAAGTCTTCACAAAGTTTTGATGCTGCCTATAATGATGTAAGCGGAATCTTTGCAGCTGGGCATCACTCAAGTCAATGTTTAATCCAATCGGTTATTATTCTTCCCTTACCTTTGAATTCTTAGTTAACAGAACTGTAAGTGAAGGTATCTATGAATATTTGAAATATTGCAGTTATAGTATCAGCAGTACAGACTGGAAAGAAGAAGCTGTCCAAATAAATGCATCCGAGTCATTTCTGCTTCAGCTACACCAGGTTGCCCCTACCCCCTGAAATACTAGCGACACATAAATATAAAGGTTTGCATCAGGTTTCTGCTCAGAAATCAAATTTAGTGATCACAAAATCAAGGTCTCTTAAAAGGAATAAATGTGGGGGAAATGCAGAAATGTACTCTTATTTGCTCTGTGCACAGTTGATAATGTTGCAGTTTGTTCTGTTTTTCTGATTGGAATTTTGTGTTCAATCTGTCGCCTGACAAACAAAAGTTGCAATCAACTCTGTCCCACCTCAAGAAATGAATGACCTAATTCAATGGCCACGAGGCTCTAGCATTCAGTTACTGCACATGTTAAGTCTTATCACTACCTTTCACATGTCAGGATGGAAAATGGCAATTCAATAACCTTCTCTTCTCATCAGTATCTCCAGCGCTCACGTATGCTTAAAGGTAGCTCCTTTAACTAATTCACTGGCCATGAGTCATACTTTAAAAATGAGTCTTACTTTAAAATGTTTGGAAAGTGCTATGTTTTTAGGGGGGAAGTTGTGCTGCTCTGCAGTTGCTGTAATTCACCAACAGTCATTGGAATAGAAGGCGAATCAGAGCAAATACAAATAAATAAAGCTGTGGGTTTGAAACAAACTCCCTCCCTCAAAAGAGCCGCAACCTATTAACTATTCAGTCCCAATACAGGCCTTCTACCTTAACGACATTGGGCCCCAGGCATTTTGAAGTCTTGAATGGTTCCAGATACTAACCCACCGGTCTATAAATATGGAAGTGTCTTCAGTACATGAGCTAGTTTTGGAATAGCCTGGGCTTGAGAAGCTGCCCTGCCCTTGATGGATGCCATCTCTCTGAACCAACCTTTTGTTTCCAGAGCGTTCAGTTTTCCCCTACCTGCATCATACACAAGCTTTGTCTACCAACTCATAATCATCACCATGAAGCACAACCAACTGTTGTATATTTGTTTCTGTTCATTTTGCTAAAAAAAAACCTCTAGGGAATTAAAAGTCTAAACATACGGGTAAAATTCAAGAGAAAATTTGTTTTGTGGGGTGAAACGCAGTTTTCCTCAGTGAGGCTTCTCAGCACAAAAGAGGTACCTGTTGTCATGGAAGTTTGTAACTATTTTTTGTTCTGTGCCATAGCTGTTTTTTGCCTGCCGACCACCTTCATACTTATCCTGCCAGAACTAGCAGTAACATGTATGGAGATCGAAGCACTTTACTTATTAAATTTATAGCCTGCCCTTCCTCCCAAAGGAGCCCAGGGTGGCACTTAATGTACAACTTTCACAAGTCTGGCATGCTAGCATGTCTACATGCCAGTCACCAAAGCACTACTAATCACTTCAAATAATAGGTAGCTGGAAGCACTCTTCACTGTAATCCAGCAATAATACTAACCAGATACAGTAAGAACCAAGAGGAATCTTTTGCCATTATCCCCAACATTTATACAGAAAGATTCCATGAACTTATGTACTTCTTGAAGTACACTTACTCTCCATACAACGGGGCTCCTTGGAACCATGACCAAACCTTGAAAAGTTTTTCTGGTATTTGCCAATGCAAAGTATCTACCACTTGGTTGAAGTCACTATTACTCATTTAGCTTCAACAGTGTACAATAAACTGTACAGAACACAGAATCAGCAGGGTCCCTGCCCCCAAATGTTTACAGTTTTAATTAAACAGAGGAGAAGGAAGAGTTTGTTCCAGGATGAATGTGTGTCAGTACTACAGCCTGTTCTAGGGGGTTATAACCTATCCAAATAATAGGTCATGGTCAACCACAACTTGATTCTACAACTTAACTGGACAAACCCTTACTTCATACAAATTACATTTAGGAATCTGGAATTTCCATAGTTCTGGGTATTGCTAATCTTCAAACACTGGACAAAAAACAAAGTTCCAACAGAAATCATAGCCACAAAGCAAGAATGGGAAAACAAAAGATGATAACATGAGGAATTGTGTACAGAAATAGGCAAGCTGTGGTTCTTTACAAAAAGAGCCAGGGTGGTGTAGGGTTAGAGTGCTGGACTAAGATCCAGGAAACCAGGATTCAAATCCTCACTCTGCCATGGTGTGCGCTGGCTGTCCTTGGGCCAGTCATCATCTCTCAGCCTAAACTTTCTTACAGGGTTGTTGTGAAGATAAAATGGGGAGAGGATGAACCTTGAGCACCTTGAGCTCCTTGAAGGAAAGATAGGGAATAAATGCAATAATCAATCAATTAATGAATCCAAAAATCAATCAATGATCACAGAGCTTCTTGGTCAACATCTGGTATGGACCAGCATCTCCAAAACACGATTAGATATACAAATGATATGACATATTTAACAGAATTAATGGGAAAGATAATTCCTGATAGAGGGTCAACAGATTATTTAGAACTTGGTCACTAAGACACTACTGGAAGCCTCATATGATTCTTTTAACCTGGGCCCTGTGTTATCTTTTGGTGTAAGGAACAAAGAGCCCCTTAGTACTCACTGAATCTGTTAAATTTCATATATATCAAGTAATCATTTATATCTCTTCATGTTGCTAGAACCAGCATAGACTGTCATCCTGTCCTCCCTACTTTTATAGAGAGCAACTCCAAGTGAAAATCAAGGATTGGGCAGAAACCTTAAGAATCAGCAGCCAGTTAAAACAGGAGGTGGGGAAAAGGACGGAATGGGAAAGAGGGGGGAAGATAAGCATATGGAATTAATTGGTGAGTGTTGGATGTCTTGGAAAGGGCTGCTGAGCTTGAAAAAAAGATGTGAGCCTGGGCTCTACAGACGGACATTACTCGGTTTCCCTTCTGGGGGAAAGGTATGCAAGTGCAACGTAGCACATTTTATGTAAAGCCTCACTCCTCTTGGAGTCTTCAGTTTCTAAAGCTTTCATTCCCATGTTACTGTTGCTGGAGGCTGCATATGTAGAGGCATATGCATCAGTCCCAGCACAACAAAAATGCAGCACAAAGCAGAAGGGATAATAGGAGCTAAACTACCCCAAGGCAATCACTCTCCTTCCCTGGAAACAATACCACATATCTTTGTCATAGAGGGGCAATGGAAGGGATGACAGGTGGAGACTGGAACTGCTCTCCAATAACAAAACACGCACACATACACACACACCATGGAAGAGGCATGCAGTTCGGAAATACAGGCAACTCCTCATTTGCACAAGGGTTGCATTCCAGCTCGTTGTGCACATTGGTGAAGTGCACATAAGCCCACCCAGGGTTAAAAACTGTGCGCATCAGCGGTCACATGCCAATCAAACACATGAAAAACGATCACCGCCTGTACTTCTTGATCCAGCATTGTCAACTGAAGCCCAAGTGGCCTTGGGAGGTCAATGCATCTTTTACCAGATTTAGTTGGTCAACCCACTCTTGGACAGGGATAGTCTTGCTACAGTGAAGCAAGCTCTAGTAACCACCTGGATTACACTGGATTAGTGTCATACTTTATATATGGTGAAATGACTCAGAAGCTTTAACACTTTGTCAGTGAGTGCTGTTCATATTACATCTATTTTGAAATAATTAAATTGGGTGCCTATTTGCTTCCAAACACAAATTTACTGTACTTTAAAACCCTAAAAGCCTTGGGACCCATATGCATAAAGGAACACTTCTTCCCATGCCAGCCTGCTCTGATATTGAGATCTTTTGTAGATGCGCTTGTCTATGCACCACTTTTAATGGAGCTCTCTTATGTGGTCAGAAGGGTCAGCACCTTTTTGGTGGTAGTATCCTGACTTTGGAATAAGACATTTCCATTTGTCCAGGCATTCTGGTGATGCCTTATTTGGAATTGCCTTCCCTGCTCCCTGGTATTAAGCTTTTAACCAGCCTTTTATCTTATTGTTTATTATAGAGTTTAATACTGTTGTATGCATATACTATGTGAACAGTTGCAGTAGTAAGATTTCTATACTGCTGATAAACTAAGTCCTCTGGGAAGTTTACAGACCTACTTTTAGAATAAAACATACAATTCAACTGTTTGTTTGTTTTTATTTTTTTAAACTAAAATCCAAAGAGTCTTAATGTAAGCACAAGTGCAAACACCATAAAAACCAAAAGGGGCAAAATAAATTAAGTGCCAGAATTAAAAAAGCACCAATATATATATATACCACCC